ATTATTATTATTATTATTATTTTTTATTATTACTATTATTATTATTATTATTATTATTATTATTATTATTATCATTATCATTATTATTATTATTATTATTAATATTTATTATTATTATTATTATTGTTATTTATTATTATTATTATTATTATTATTATTATTATTATTATTATTATTATTATTATTAATATTTTTTATTATTATTATTATTGTTATTTATTATTATTATTATTATTATTATTATTATTAGTAGTAGTAGTAGTAGTAGTAGTAGTAATAGATAGAGAAATTGGGAGGAAAGAGAGTGTAGATATTAATGAGGAGAGAGAAATGATAGGAGAGAGAGTGTGAATATTAATGAATAGAGAGAAATGAGTTGATCAAATAAAATTTATAGGTTATTAGTAGGTTTTAGTAGGTTTGAAAATTGAAAAAAGTATGAATAGTGTATTTCCAATAGAAATTTGATAAGAAAAAATGGGATTTTCTGGATAAAATGTGAAACAAACATGATCTCGGTTTTATGAATAGTATAGAACTGGAAATTGATTTTGGAAATGAAACCAAACGTCCCCCAACTCTCCAGCAGCTTTACCTCTATTTATTTTTCCTTTTTTTTTGGCCCCTTTAGTAATAAAACGACGTCGTTTAGGGTATTTTACGCTCAAAAGCAAGTGGCCCAATTTTCCTTTTCCAGTTTCTTAAATTGTGGACGGTACGCAGTAGTGGGGGGCCATGGTCGGTTTCTTACGTCACAAGACGTCTGCACCAATTTTTTATTTTATTTTCTCTCTCCACTCCTCTTCTTTGGCCCAAACCCTTTTTTTATCTTTTTTTTTTTGTTTTCTCTACAGGAGAGAGAAACGACGCACCCAACTCCTCCCACCTGCTCTCTCTCCTACGAAGCCGCGACCCCTCTCTGTTAAATCCTCCACACCACCCCCGCCGACCGTCGACCAGGGGAGGCGATCGAAAAGCCGCTTCAGGCGGGGACGGGCATAGTCGGTGGGATTCTGACCGCCGTTCCTCCCCAGGGCCGTGGTCTGTGCGTGACGCTTTCCGGCGCTAGACCATCGAGTTTTCCACCACTCCCCAAATTTTCTCCTTGTTTTTGTTTGTAATTTCTCTAGATTAGAATCTGTCATTTGTGCGTTGCATATTCCCGTCCATTACCTGCGATTGGATCGGTAATAGGGGTTTATTTATTATTCGTCGTCTTTGCTTATTTTTTCTTGACGTTTCCGTTTATGCACGAAAACTTCGTTCTGTATGGTGTATGGTAGTGTTGATGTTTTCGATGATGACTAAACATATGATTGATGATAAATATGAATGTTATTTAAGGTTTTTTACTTATTTATGTTATATTTGATTTGTTTAGCGAAATTTGTGGTTGTTAGAATTTCAGAATCTTAATATATGGAGCTTGTTGGTATTCGGGAATTGTTATAATATCCGAAAAGAAACATACAAAAAAGACAATAAATGAATATGGCGATGCATAATTCACATTCGGGTGTGAATATTGAATAGCTTTGTTGGTCGGGCATATCTTGCTGGATTTTGATTGCTCTATCGTTATTTCATTTAGTTTATGTCAAACTTCATTTGGTTTATGCCGAACACCGATGGATTTGTAATTCCATGCTTGGAAATAGAACACCGGTGGATTTGTAATTCCAAGCTTGGAAATCGAAGACACGAAGTTGGATCCTAAAGTCTGTTTCTTCACACTATTTGATTGTCCATCTTGCAATTCAATGCGGGTTTTTTAATACTTCCTAAGCATAAAATCGAGAAAGTATCCATAATGCAACTTTGAAACTGGGCACGCAACGCCGCGCATTGCGCGGTGCAACATTTCTAGTATATATATATATATATATATATATTTTCTTTCATTTTTTATAGAGACAAAAATATCCTTGAAGAGATCAAATTCCAAAGGGTAATTGAGGAATAATAATTTAAAGTAATTTATTATTAGTATTTAATGAATTAATACATGTATATGGACAAATGTATGTGCCACGGATGTTACACTTTATGTATGTACATATAGCATTAATTAGAATTACCCAAAGCTAACAAATGAACCATTATCTGCAAAACTAATTATGTCGAAAATTTATCCTATAAAATAATTTGATTTGGTTATTAATACATGTTGATTAATAATTATTAGTGCATGTTTTTATTTATTTATTATTAAGTACTCATTCTTGTATGAAATATCCCAAAATGTTTAACTGGTCAGATATTATATTTCATCTATTAAGTAAAATGGTAAATATCCTAACTGAGATTTTTTGGACATAAAAAAGAGAGGATAGAAGACAAGACAAAACACACATATAACCAATTATAGTTTTCAGACAATGTTAATTCACAGCAGTTAGTAATCTCATATGTCTAAAAAGATTAGTGTATCTATTTGTTCAACCAAAGTTCAGTAGAAAGACAGCCATTTGTCACACCCCTAAAAACTCACTTCCCTCGAAAAAAGAAGGAAAAAAATTAGAATAAAAAATTCCGACATATTGAACATCCAAAAAAGATTACATGCGCGCATCTTTCTTTCGTTCCTCATTGAGTTGTCACACTTTTTGCAAGATTTCGAGGCTGGTCAACGTTGTATCCTCGTAGAACTGTAAGATGGTACGCCAAAAGCTGCACTCAAAAGAGAACAATTAACCAATTATACACTACGAAGTAAAATTACCAAATTACCTTCGGCCAACGAAGCGATAATAACCAGTTTTACCTGCAAAGGAACTATGTTAATAACGGGCTGTAGGCAATCCTCAACTTGCGGAACTTCAATTACACGGCACGATCCGCCGACACAAACAGATTCAGCGTCGCCTTTAGTACACATCACTATTAGTCGACCTTTTCGAGCGTGAAGCTGCTGAATCACCGATTGTTGCTTGCTGTTCACAAAAAAAAAAAAATCTAAGCATTTAAAAAAATTAATTATTTTAAACGAAAAATATTTAATTAATAGGAGAAGTATTAAACCTGAAACAAGCATCGCGAGTAGCAATAACAACAATGGGGAGAGTTTCGTCGACCAAAGCCAAAGGACCGTGTTTCATTTCACCGGCAAGTATTCCTTCACTGTGCATAAGCGAAACTTCCTTCACCTTCAACGCGCCTTCCAAAGCTGTTGCGTAATTATACCCTCTTCCAAAAACGAGAAGCGATTGTTCGGCAATCAGTAATTTGGCGAGATCTTTCATTTCCTCGTCTAGCTTGAGTACTTCTTTCACTTTACCTACAATTAATCAATTTATTCATTATCATTATATAAAAAAAGGGGGCCATGGTTATTAATAATGAATTTATTTACGTAACATTAGACGTACCTGGCAAGTCAAATAATCCATCTATTATCGCTTCTCGTCTCGTTTGACTAGAAATTGTGTCGTCTCCAATTGCAAGTGCCAACATAGCCATGACCACAATTTGGCTAGTGTATGCCTGTTCATTGATATCATGTTAGAATAGAGAAGTAGGAATAACTAGAATGTAATAATGTAGAAAAGACACATAGATTAAGGCCTCGTTTGGTTGGGGAAGTAAGATTACGCAAGATAAGATTAAATAATCTAATGAAAATCCAATTATATTATTAGACCATGGGAGGTCCAATAATAAATCTCCCTCCCTATAAGGAGATTATTTATTGGCCATGATAAAATAGTATTTCCGGGTTGACCCGGAAAATTATTGGGTTTACGGAACATCAAACAAGTCCAATTATTTAATCAATCACTGCTGATCTTCCCAACCAAACGAGGCCTAATATTATTGAAAGAGCTCACTCTATTATATAGAGATGGGAGAAAGAAAAAAAAAAAAAAAAAAAAGAGTTTATTGCCTTCAATACCCAGTTATATCAAATTGCTAAAAAATCCTTATGTTATAAATATTAGCAAACACCCCATACGATGCACATTTTTTAGCACACAACCCCCTAAATGTGAGGGTGGTTTGCTAACAAAATTGAATTGTAGGGGGTGTGTTGGCTAATAATTATAACACGAGGGGTTTTTTTAACAATTAAAGTGAACACAGGGGTACTAAATGCAATAAACCCAAAAAAAATCATAACAAGGAAACAATTCTTGCAAAGATAATAAGCTAAAATAACTCGAATTTTTGGAAGATCAACAAGAAACGAGAAAAAAGTAAAATACGATAATGTGTTTTTTACCTTAGTACTAGCTACACCTATTTCGCATCCAGCATTAATGTGAACACCACAATGAGTATTCCTAGCAATTGCACTGCCAACTGTATTAGTAATCCCAACACACAGCGCCCCGTTTTCCAACGCATATTCCAACGCAAGCAAAGTATCTGCCGTTTCTCCCGATTGACTAACAAAAACCGTTGTGTCCTCCCTGTATATGGGCCCCTGCCTGTCGAGCAAATCACTAGCGATCTCCATTGTCACAGGAATACCTAAAAACCGCAACCACTTAAATTTATCGATAAAAAAAAAAAGAAATTAAAATATTTTCGACTTTTTTCCACTAACCGGAAAGTTCTTCTAGAATGGGTCTTGCAGCTAAAGCTGCGTTGTAACTTGTGCCGCAGCCGATGAAAACTATTCTTCGGCTTCTTCTGATGGTTTTTAAGTGATCTTTTAATCCTCCTAAAAGGACGCTTTTGGCTTTGCATGAGCCTCCGCGTATGAGGCGCCCTCGCATTGTAGTGGTGAGGGATTGTGGTTGCTCGTGGATTTCTTTCTGCATGTAGTGTTCGTATTTGCCTTTGTTTATTTGCTCGACTTCCATTTCTAGAACTGATAGTGCTCGTTGAACGGAGGCCGGTCTTGTTAGAGCTCCGTTTGGTTTGCCTTTTGCGTTGTCAAACTTGAAAATCGATGCTCCTCCATCCTGGAATTGTCAAAAACCGATTAAAATGAAGCTCGAGTGGCGGAAACATTAATTTGATTCTTGGAAATTTAAATGGTTCGGAAGAACGGTATTTGTTCCATCAAAATAGCATGCATGTAAAAAAAATAAAAATAAAAAATCCGAAAAAAAAAGTAAGAAAGCACTAATATATTCAAATGTCTTTCTAAGAAACTTGTTAAGTTTTACCACGAACACTTGGAGAACGATCCCCTCTTTTAGCAGATCATACACAATAAACGAAATTTCAAGAAAATTGGTAAGAGCAAGTTTATGTTTCTTGAGGGATCTACGCAACTTCTGTGTAAGAATTTATTTTGCAACGTGCAGACAAGAAAAAGGGCGAGATATAATCCAAGGTTGGAACTTGCATGGAGAATCTCAGAAAAATGTCAGAACTTTCAACACTTGAAGATAATGCATAACGAATAAGATCGACGAAGATAAAGCAAGATCAACGATGTTCAGACAACACTCAAACGAACAACGCAGTTCAATATCATAAAAATGTTAAAAAAAAAAAAAAAAAAAAAAAAAAAAAAAAAACCAAACCTTGAGATGAACAACTTCACCATCCTCAATAACCAAAACCCGTTTCGTGTGCTCGACCAGAGCACTGGGATCACTCGACAAAAAGAGCTCCTTCGGTTGTCCGTTGCTTAAGAGAAATTTCGGGTCGTTAAAAGATGCTTTGCTGGATTCTTCTGTTAGCTCCTGCAATAACAGAAACGTCATCAATTCCTAAACGAATGTAATAATCCCAGAAAAAAAAAAAAAAAAAAAAAACCATAACAAGGAGACTGTAAGAGAAAAGTTTTAATAAGGTGATTGATAAATTCTCAGACAAGAACATACCTTTACGCCAAGTACCAAAGGACTACCGCGTTTGCAAGCAATTAATTCATTGGGATAATGTCTGCTCTTGAAAATGAGAGCATATGCTCCTTCCAGATGCCTCATTACTTCGAGCACTACTTGACTAAATGTCACACTCTTATCACCTACACCCAATTTAATCGAACGATTATCAATCCACGAATCAATAACAAAAGATTTTCTTTTTTTTCCCGTATAAAACGATAAAGTAAAAGAAAATATAGAGAAAAGAACCGGTGCGCGCTGTTAAATTATTACAAAAAGAACTGTGAATTCAGAAAACCAATGCGAATAAAATATGGACGAATAGAAGACAATCGAGTTAAAGAAATAACTAGCCGTTTAAGAGTCGAGAGAGAGAAAGATACCTTCTTCGTTTGCGTTATCAAAGACGAACTTTGCAAGCTTTGGAATGACTTCCGTATCGGTTTCGGATTGAAAGGTAAAACCATGTCGAATTAGTGTCTGTTTCAATACCTGAATTCATAACATAGTGCATTTAGAGAATCGACGAGAAAAGAAAAAGAAACAATTTAGTGAGTGTAAGAAACGAAAAATCACAAGTGCCAAGGGAACTATGGCCAAAGCACTGAAAACTATGAGAAGTCGTAGTGATGAATAAAAAATAAATAAATAAACGGCATTATCGGATCATGCATTAATAAAAAAGAAAGGGCAAATGAACCTCGTAATTGGTGATAACTCCGTTATGAACAACCAAGAACTCGTTGCTTGCATCAGATGTTTGAGGATGACTGTTCCTGGGAGATGGTTCTCCGTGTGTCGCCCACCGAGTGTGCGCTATGCCAGCGTGGATCGAGAATGATTCTTCCAAATTTAAATCCGTAGCAGCAACCTCTGAAAGAAGAAAATATATATATATAAACTAAGATTTAATTACTTTCATAGAAGTTAAAAAGTAATAATCGATATGGACTAATACTGTAAACAAGATACTTCAAAAATCTACAAGATTTTAACGACCAAGCTAGAAGGAAACTTCAACAGACACCTGGCAGTTTCAATGCTCGATTATTAACCAAGCAAAAATATCGTGAAATGATTGAAGAGGTTGACTTAATCAGATTCGTGGCAAAGATTAGCTCGATTTCCAAGAAAACCAAATCAATACCAGGAGGACGTACGCAACTTCTACTCAACAAGGAAACATAACACGATAAAGCTAAAGAATCTCCAAGCCCTCGATATTGAATTAACTCCCTTATATAATCTCACGATTTTCGAAACGATTACGCAGTATAATTTTTTATATTGATCTTGAAATCACATCTCAGTAATAACTTTATCGTATCACTCAGTACTAAATGAAAGCCATCAAAGGCAAACATGAAACTGCTGTGATCCTCGTCAAAATCAAAATTCTAAGTACATTAGAGACAACCTTTGTCAAAACAAATATATATAAGGAAAAAAAAAATGAAACCCCACATTGTTTGTTCTGCTTCTTCTTCCAAATTGGACCAAAGAAAAGTCAACGCCCTAACGTTGTTATAAAACCAGAGATGAACATGTCGGAGAAGTGATTGCATATGTCGGAAATTGGGGGGAATTTTATTACCTTGGTAGACGGATTTGACGAGGGACTCGATGTTGCCTTCCTGGCGGAAGACGAGAGGCGGAGGGACGACGACGGCATCGGCATTCGAGGAATCGAAAGAGGAATCGATGGATATTCCGGCGGAATCGTAGCCCCTGTACTCCAAACGGCGGAGGCCGTTGAACAAAACTTCCAGAATATAGCGCCTCTCTCTGGTTACGCTGAAATTCAAATACGCGAAAATCCCACACATGATTTTTATTATTATTATTTAATTTAATTTCTGGTGTGATTATCGGAGATCAGCGAAGAAGTATGAATTATGGAGGGAGAAGAAAGGGGAGGAAATTGAAATTGGAATTGGAAATTGGAATTTGGAATTCAACTCTGTCGTTATCATTCTCGACTTTTGATTTATTTTTTAAAACAGGTCATTTAAAGGTTGTGTGTTCGGACCAATGGGAGCTTCTGTTTTTGTACACGTGTCATTATACGCCCCTGTGACTTGGAAACTTGCAAGTGTTGGTTGGCTTTGGAATTGTCAACTATGTGTATTTGGGTTCCTCCGACCATACACCCGGTGAAAAACATTATAAATAAAAAAAAAACACCTAAAGATAAACCCTAGTGGGGAATTTATTATAAATAAAAAAAAAACACGTGGTAGCAGAAGATCCACCCAGTGTTTTTCACCGGGTGTAGGGTCGAACAAATCGTGTATTTGGAAGTTTCGTTCCCCCCCCCCCCCCACAAAGTGACGAATTACAGTCAAAATAAAGAAAAAAAGAATCTTTATTTTTCTTTTAATAATATTTTATCAACTTGGGCAAATTACCTTTCTCAAAAAAAAAAAACTTGGGCAAATTACGATCACCACCGTTGAAGTAGATCAAATTACAAAAAAAACTCCATCATGTTTGCATAATTATAATTTATAAGCATTCTATTAACTATGTATTATCTTACGAAAAAAATTATTCAGTTGATAAATTTAGAGATGTTAATTCGGTAAAATTATATTCAAATCGCGGTACGTCAAAATTTTATTAAAAATATTTTTAAAAATGATTTTATATATATTTTAAAAAAAAAATAGTTTAAATACTAATATTACAAACACACACACACACACACATATATATATATATATATATATATATATATATATATATATATATGTATATATATATAATAAAATAAAAGTGACACACCGAATTAAAAGTTCTGATCGGCGTATACGAATTTTCGTTCGGTTTGATTCGATCGGTTTAACAACCAGATGAACACCGCTAAGGGTGTGAACGAGGCGATCTCTAGCCGAACTAGCCTTTTTTGGCATGCTTGAGCTTGAGTCTATTTTGTCGAGCTCGAGCTCGTCGAGTTTCTTATTTTTTGGCTTGAGCTCGAGCTCGTGTCCGTTTTGTCGAGCTCGATCCCTAGCTAATTTTGTTGTTTTTCATTTTTTTAATTATTATTTTATTATTATTAAAAAATATTTAAAAAAAATTACAAAACAAACAATAAATTGTAATTATATATATTTTTTAATATTTATATTTTATTTTTATTTATTTCTCTAATATTTTATATTATTATACTTATTTAAATAAAAAATTATATATATAAAAAAAATAAAAAAATAAGGCTCACGAGTTCACGAACAACTAAAAACTGGCTTGATCTCGGCTCGTCAGAAAGCTCGGGCTCGAAAAACTCGAGTCCGGCTCATCGATCTCACGAGTCGGCTCGGCTCGTTTACCACCCCTAAACACCGTTAGGTAAATTTGACATCGTAAGAGTGGACGTGTAGACAATACATAGTTGAAAGGTGGTTGCAACTATGCAAACAAGATGGATTTTTTTCTCATAATTATACCTTATCTCTGGGGGTGGCCGTAATTTACCCTATCAACTTTGAATTTTGTTTTAATTAAAATACAACAAATCAGGTAATTTTTCCCCCTATTTTGATTTGAATTTCAAAACTACTTGATGAAAATTTAATTTATGGCACAAATTTGCAGCCATAACTCGGGATGTAAATGAGATTAAGTTTTCGAGTTCGAGCTCAAGGTGTTTTAAGTTAAGAGATAAAGAATCAGAATTAAACTGCTTTAATTCAACGGTTAAGATCAATGTTTAATCAGACTTGATCTTTCTGAAAATGGTTACTGGGCTTCTCATGGTGGTGAGCAAACCTCAAGAGAATTGGGATTTCTGGCCCATCATACATTTGGACCAAAACCACAACATAGACTAATTTGGGTTCTTTTCCTTTTTTCTTGAGAGCTATTTCAGTTTCAAATTGTTATTTCTAACAATTTATTAATCGGTGGATCACATTTTAATTACCCTCGTGATGAACATAAAATTACAAGATTAGTACATCCTATGTTCTTGGTGGTTAATTTACTTTTAGTACCTAGTACTGAAGTAGTGACTCAAATCCAGTGGATATATTCCATTTCTTTGGCAGGTTTTGTAATTAAATGAAATCAAACTAAAACTTGTTCCGAATTTCGAACTGATCATTTTAAAGAATAATGTTTTTAATTTACTACGACATTCTCAATTTAGAAAGCGCAGAAACGGAATCACATTAACCATTTCTTATCGATCTTAATCAGCTTTTAGAAACAACTCAAATGTTATTCATATAACAACTTTTACCGGCTTGCAGTGCGACTTTATTTCATTTGTAACTTTTCTTCAAAAAATTCAAAATCCTCTCAAACCCTATCCCAGCTCCTTCGAATTCCTGCGGAATAAACGAGCAATTCAACAACGATTTAACGTAAAATTCGAACTCGAAATCGTTAACCCAATGTTTTATAGTAGTATATTAACAAATTTCGTCGAAAATAAATACGTTTTCAGTATTTTGAAAAAATTCGAATCTTTTTGGAAAAAAATTGCGTTTCTAAGAACTCACGAAATTAAAGGGCTAATTTCGTGATTTTTTCCACGAAATTAGCTTAATTGTTTGTTTCTCTTACGTTTCGTGCAAAATCTTACGAAACAAAAGCTTACATTTCGTGAGATTTCTCACGAAATTAAAGCTTTTGTTTCGTATGATTTTGCACGAAACATATGTGTTTTGGCAGTTTTACTGTTATTTCGTGGAAAACACACACGAAATTAGTGCTTGTATTTCGTGAACACAAACACGAAATCTAAGCATTAATTTCGTGTGTTTTTCCACGAAATAACTGCATTCAGTTTTTTTTTAAGATTTGTTTTATTTATTATTATTATTTAGACTGACCTTAATAGTGTTTTATTATATTTAACAGATGGCAGGCAAAGGGAAATCAAAGGCAATTATGCGAGCAGTTCGTGAAGAGGCTGAACATCAAGAGCGCGAGCGCATGACTATGTCTACACGACGTAGGCGAGAGGCTGAGAGAGCTGGTGACAGATCATCGGTTCCACATCCCGATGTTGGGTCTTCTCGTGCTATGGAGGAGGAGGAGGATGTTGTGGACCCCGTTCACGAGACTGAGGTTGTAGCTCGTGGAGGTCGTGGAGGCCGAGGACGGGGCCGTGGAGGTCGTGGTGGTCGAGCTCATACTCGAGTCAATCCGGATGTGCTAGATGGTCCATTTTCCGGTGGCCCGCGGGATCCGTCTTTGATTCCGAGTTTCAAGTCGCACGTAGCGGCATATATTTGGAGGGGAGAAGTAAGTTAATTACTTGTTTTAATTTTAATATTATAGTTTTTGTATCTTATATTAAAATATTTTTATAGTTGATTAATTAATATGTTTTCTAAATAAATGATTGCAGGAACGTCTGGTTGGATGAGTGGAGTCCTGTATCAACTCCCTGAACCAATTCAACTACGAGAAGATAACAACTACCCTAGAAGACATAAGGGTCCATTTGGATGGAGGGATTTGGGGAGGGATTTGATTTGGGGAATGGATTTGAAATGACTCCAATTTTGGAGTCATTTGAAATCCATCACTATTGCTCCAAAATCAACTAAAAATGAGGGGTGGGGATTTGAAATCCATCTCCAAATCCCTCAATCCAAACAAGTCCGAGGGATTTGTTATTATGGATTTGAAATCCCTCCCCCAAATCCCTCCATCCAAATGCACCCTAAATGTATCCGTAGACAAGCATTTTATGCGGATGACCGGTTTGTATCCCCTAGCCCGATGTTATTTACTGCGCCTAGATGCTCCGCTGTTGTTTGCATTCGTGAAGCGGTGGCAACAACTTCCATATGCCGTGGGGGAGATGACTATCACTCTCCACGATGTCCAGATGATTCTAGGTGCCAATGTGGATGGACGGGTGGTCGCGCCTAGGTACGACGACGTCATCGAGCGGACAAACTGCGTGTATTTGCTGTCCGAGGTATTAAACCTCGATTTTGAGGAGATTGACGAGTCATGGAAGCATGGGGGCCCCACATGGAGGATGATACAAGGACAGTTGTTAAAGCCTGACACGTCATGAGACGCCGAGTTCAGATATACCTGGTGTTTCTCCTCGGATCGATTTTATTCCCCGACAAGATATGTGATCGGGTGAAGCCGTGGTATATGCACGTGCTCGAGGATTCAGTGCTTGATCAAGTCGGCACGTATTCGTGGGGTTCGGCCTGTTTGGCCAATCTATACAGGGAGTTGGGTATATGCAGCCGAGCACAGTCAAGGGGCTTGGCAGGTTGCACCACCCTTCTTCAGGTAAATTTTAATATATTTTTTACTTATTTTGTTCATTTTAATAAATTTTAATAAATTTTAATATATTTTAATAAATTTTAATATCTTTAAATAAAATATTGCAGTGCTGGATATACGAGTATTTCCCGAGATTCCAGCCACCGAAGGAGAGCGAGCACTACCACGAGTTTCAGCCTCGATGCAAGAGGTGGAACGCGCCGCCAAAAGCGGGCACGCTCGAGCATATTCGAGGTTTACTCGACAATATGACAGCGGATGATGTAAGTCTTTTATATTTATGTATTTATATTTTTTAAATATGAATCTTTTGGTTTATGTTTGTAGTATGTTTAAATATGAATTCTTCGGTTTATGTTTGTAATTTGTTTAAATATGAATTTTTCGGTTTATGTTTGTAGTTTGTTTGAATATGATTTTTTTGATTTATGTATTTATATTGTTTTCTGTTTAGGTCGAGTGGCTACCGTATGGTCGGGATATACACGAGAGTATCCCTCGTACGTTGTATCATGGCACGATCCAGTACATGTGGGTCGTAGAGCCGTATATGCCTGATCGTTGCGTCCGACAGTTCGGGTGGGTTCAGGATATTCCGCGCGGCTTGATTCCATCGATGGAGCCATGTTCACGCGGTCCCGAAGGAGGTACATCGTACAAAGTCAACTACCCATTTCCGGGTGGTATGCGGGACATGGTCCAGGCTCATTCCATTCGTGCCAACGTATACAAGACGGCACGACAACGGGGGGAAGTCGACGAGCACTACATGAAGTGGTACACCGATCGAACTCATCTGAAGATCAACAACCCCGACATAGGCCCGGCTCCAGTGCATCGAGAGAATGTGAGGCCACCAGATCAGCCGACTTATTACCAGATAGTACGTGCATTGTACCCGATCACCAGAAGCACTGGACATGACTGGATGCAGCAGTTTGCCGATCTACGTGCCGATCTTGGAGATATTATGCAGCCCGCCGCCCGATATATTGGTATCGACCATGACAACGACAAAGACGACGACGATGACGACGACGATCATGAGGTGCAGCCGCCGAGGAGAGCGAGGCGGTAGTTTATCGGTTTTTTTTTGCCAATTATGTATTTTTATGAACTATTTAATTTTAAAGTTTATTTTTATTATTATTAGGACTATGCATTTTTATTATTGTTAGGAACTATTTAATTTAATAATTTGTTTTTATTATTATTAGGAACTAATTATTTTACTAATCTTGTTTATTATTATTACGAACTATTTAATTTACTAGTTTGTTGTTTTATATTTTAATTCACTAATTTTATGATTTGAATTTAGAAACTACGTACAACTGAAGCAATTAAAGTACACATTTAAACAACCTTAGAAATTTAATCATTCCAAAAACATAGGTTAAAGTTAAACATATAAAATGCAAAATTAAAACAAATACAAATTTAAACATAAGTTAAACTTTCAAATACCCGGCAGATGGTTATGATTACTATTACTCACACTCAATCGCCATAATCCATCCTCCGTTGATTTTTTGCCAATTAACCTGAACGGACAAGAACGTTTCTTCAATAGTACGTGTCGTCCAAATTAATATCTTGCACACGTTAAAACATGATATTTTTCTGATTTACAATGATTAATCAGTCGATGATTATGACAAATTGTTGTGTCTTTTGCTCACATAATTAACGTTTCTCTACTATCACACACAATACCACGTTCAAAGAAGTGACTATGATCGTGAGATTGTTCTCTTAGTTCCTGCATAAATATATAAAATTAAAAGATAATATTTAAGGGATTTCGTAGAAAAACATACGAAATGTAAGCTACAATTCCGTGTAAAAACATACGAAATAAGAGCTTCCATTTCGTAGGTTTTACTACGAAATGTAAGCTTTAATTTCGTATGCTTGTCTACAAAACACACAACAAACGATTTTAAGACATATTTCGTATAGTATTACACGAAATGAAAGCATATATTTCGTGTGTTATAACACGAAATGTCTAAAAACCTTGGAAATGAACAAAAAACGTGTATTTTCACCTCAAAGTCGAAGCCGTTGTCATCCATGTCGATAATACTTGTGTTCTAACTGATATTGGTCGAAAAATTACTGAATTTGAAAAATTTCAAGAATTAAAGGTTGAGAGTGTTTGAAAGGGAATTTGGATAAGATTTGAAAAAGAAAAAAAAAAGAATTATTTTGCACTGCTAATGGTAAAAACCGCACTCATAATAGCAAACCCCTAGAAATAATTGGAACGAATCCCACCCTCAACGTGTGGTGAGGGGATATTTTGTAACTTTAATTTCCTTTCAAGTTCTTTGTTTGCAACTAAATTTGCATCATCTTAGTTGCAAACGATCGTTGTCTAGCTATTTTCGTTTTCGTTTTTTACCTCCCTAATTAACTGTCGTTTTCCAGTTTTGCACAAATATTAAAAATATCAAAAATGTGTCTTGATTTTAGAAAAACACATTAGAAAGTTTAAAATAAACTTAACTATTTAATGATGTGATAAGAGGGTGGTAATACTTATTTGAATTAATCATGTTTTCTCAAAAAAAGAAAAAAAAAATTAATCATGTTAAAAAAATGAAGTATTAGAAATCTAAAACGACAGAAAATATGAAATAAAAATATTAAAAAAAATGACAATTATTATAGCATTGAGAGAGTATATATTACTTTCTTCCTTTTAAATTGAATATTCATTTTGTTCACTTTTAATTTTTATTTAATTATTTTTTAAAGGGAATACAAAAATAGAGGGTAAGGTGAATTTAATTTGGTGTATTATGACAAAGACTTGACAAGAGAGATGAGGTGGAATCCAGCCCAGACAACTTTATCAGTTTGTCTCTGCGCGTCTTTGTTTATATTCATTATTCAGTCAGTTGGGCCTTTCTGTATGTACTGATGCACTACTCTCCAACCACAGTTATTGCTGACGTGGAGGTAGATCCATGAGTTTGGGGAAAACGTGTAAATATTAAAATTATAGGGGTATATTTATAAATTGCTATATAAGTTTTTATTTATGTATAAATTATTTATATACATTTTCATACAAACATATTGAGAATATTTTTTACTATCAACTATAAATTTGCAGTTGATCGTTAAATCGTGTAAATAATTAGGGAAGATACAAATATATTTGAAAATTTGTCATTCAAACATGTTTCTAACATTTTAGAAATTGCAAATTGGCCCATAAGGTGTTCGACAGGTGTCCTCGAGTGTCCGACGCGAAACGTGTCCGAAACGCGGAAACGTTAAGAATTTAAAATTTCCATGCTATGTAGAAAAATATTAATTGTTTTTTTCTTCAATTTTACCTACTATCACTCCTAATTAGTTAGTCAAAAACAAGTAATGACAACCGCATTTTAATATTTACGATATATTATTATATATGCATATTTATTGAGTTTTTTTTTTTAATATGTACGATGCGCAACCACAAAAGACAACATATAATACATGATGAAGGGAGTAGAAGAAATATTATTCATAATTAAAAAATTTACTAAGGAAAAAAAAAGAGAGAACTAATAATTGTTGAGGATAATTTTGTTAAAAATCCTTCATTATTAAAATATTTTTTGGTAAATTACGATTTCTTTTTAAGCAAATTACTTCATCCGTCGAATATCTGTCGGTTGGAAATTTTCTTTTTTGTTCCATAATATCTGCCACTATAAAATTCCAACACTATATTAATTACATAATTTTCAATTATGTACTTATTAACTCTTCAACATCTTCTCTGTATTAATTAATAAATAAGAGTATTAACACTATTTATTTTCCTAAAATCAAGACATATTTATTGAGTTTCTTAAGATTTGAGCAAAGGTAAAAAACGACAAATATTTAGAAACAAATAGAGTACAAATTAAGTTCTTCAAATGAGACTTTAGAAAGTGAGATTTTGTTGTGAATTAATTAATTAATCAATCAATTCGATGAAGAAACATTTTTCTTTCATTAGTAACATTTTCAAATTTAATTGTATTTGTTACTAGTCAATGTTGATTGCTATAAATTAATTACAGTATATTATTAAAGTTTTTTGACTGGGAAATATGGTCTTGTTTACAATTCCAAACTGCAAGTTGACCGACAACTCGACCGTTAAACATTAGACCCAACAGCCATAAAATTGATTGTTTATTTTTCCCATCTGACTCGAGTAGATTCCTTGAAATTACCTCATTACCCCTCTCCACCTAACCTTTTTAAGCTTGTGGAATCTTCAAATATGACCCTAATTAGTGTTTAAATGTTAATTGAGATGTTTAATAATCTATTTATGCCTATGAATCTGCAGATTAATAATTTACAACATTAAAGATACGTAATTTTTTTTCCAAATCAAGTGAATGAAAAGTAAACGTAGCAATAATTAACATGCTCATATTTTCAACACTTTCTTGAACCATAACGAGTAAAACATGGTAATTTTAACGTTTGTCAGTACTTATTTAGTAATTGAAGCAAGTGAATTTGTGTAAATTGATCAAATTCGAATCCCCTTACCAATGGTCGTTACGTTAAGCTTGTCACATATAGTTGACTGATGTTTCTTTATTACAAAAATAAAATAAAATTATTTATGCATTATTTTTCAGTGTAAAATTCATTTTGCAACTCTGTACTATGCAAAATATATCATTTACCTCCCAAAGTATAGAAAACATCAAACACCCCCTGCCGCTAGCCTTTTTCCTAATTTTCGTTAGTCAAACCATTTGACCAACTATTGCGAAGAAATGTTGGTTTTCTTTTTTACAAAAATACCCAAAAAAATTTCTATATATAATAGGTTGCTTAGTTTTGATAAATGCTCACCAAATTTTTCACTTTTCCCGGCCTTTTTTTTTAAACTTAATTCAGTTATTTTCTTTTCTATTTATACTATTTTTAGTCATTTTCCAAAAGAAAAAAAAAACTGAAAAGTTGAATAAATAAGAATGAAGCTTTGCAGATTATTAATGTAAAACCTACAAAAAAGAAAATTAAAAGCCTGAAATCTAAAAAAAAAAACCCTAAAATTGATATAAACCCATATGAAATAATTGAAAATAAAAACAAAGCTTTTCGTATTATAATGGGAACATCCCCTGAAAAAGAAAACTGAAAATCCTTAAAATCGACAAAAAGTCATAATTTGAACGAACGCTAAAAATCATCAACAATCCACAAAAATTATGCCTACAAAAATTAGGGATTATATCAAACATAAAACAGGGCAAAATAGTCATTGCACACTCAAATTTGACACCATTAAAAGTTTGACCATTGACCGTTAAAAATAGGGGTGTTTGTTGTTCTCTATACACCAGGGGGTAAATGATACATTTTACATAGTACATGCGTGCAAAATGAATTAACCCTGATTTTTATGGTAAATTCCATTCCCCCCTTGTACTTTGGCTCGATATCACTTTACTCCCTTATACTTTCGATTCTATCGATTTGCCCCATGTACTTGAAAAATTGTCTCAATGTGGCTCTCGTGGTTAGTTTTCAGACCTTTGACATTAACACCGTTTGATCTAAGTTTGAAAATTACAAAAAAATCACCGCTCACAATTTAAATAATTATTAAAAAAAAATTATGGCTGGCGTTGTGTACTATGTTTTCTCGTTGTCTTGAATTTTTTTTGAATTTTTGTTTGTTTGTTTTTTTAATAATTATTTAAACTGGGAGATGTGGTGTTTTTGTAATTTCAGAACTTTAGATCAAACGGTGATAAAGTCAAATGTCTGACAACTAACACCGATAGCCATATTGAGACAATTATGCAAGTGCAGTGAGCAAAAGTAGAAGAGGGTAAAATTACATAGAGCCAAATTGCAATGGAGGAAAATGGATTTACCCTAATTTTTACATGACTTTACTAAATTATAAAAGAAAATATAATTACCGAATATGTTAATAATGATGGTTTTTTTCGTAATTTCATCTAACCTCAGGGGCATTGATCGTAATTTGCCCAAAAAAAAAAAGGAGGATTTAGAAAGTAATTCAAAAGTAGAGTTGGCTTTTTTATCTAGAAAAAATTAAATGCGTGGTCTCGAACTTTGATCCGAATATCCCACGTGTGATTAAAAAGTCGTGCACACAAAGACCAGCCGCCGTGGGCCTCCACGCACAGGATCGCACCCCATCATCCCGTAAACTGTTCCTTCTGACCAAATTCGTCAACTAATCCGACACCATTTATGCTAAATCCCAGGCGCCATTGGCGCGTGCGCGCCACGACCATCGCACCCGCGCGTGGTGGAGCAAGCATACACATCTCTTAGGTGAAATGCCAAAAAATAATGACTGTGTATCTGTTTCAGTGGGGGTGAAAAAACTGAAAAAAGTAAGTGGTATAATCAATGGAAGGAAAGGAGCCAATTCCATTGCATCAGCCAACGCATAACAGCAAAATCTAACGCCCCCGCCCCCACCCCCTACAACCACCCGACTCCCATCGACCACTCTCCATCCACCCACGCGCCGCCGATGGGTGCCGCCGAGCCCGTGAGTCGTACCCACCTGCTGTCATCTTTTTTCTTGAAACTCCCTTCTGTTTTTTTTTTGCTAATACTTGTTTGTGATGTTTACTGTAGGAAGCTCTGCGCAGAGAAAACGAAGACGAAGAAGAAGATAAACAGGAGGAGAGAGAAAATGGGAGGAAGAAAGAAGAAGAAAAAGAAGAAGAGTTACCGGATTTAGAGAGAGGAGAGAGAAACATCAACGGCAAAGAATCAGTTCAAACACATCCCCCAACTGGATTCCACATGTCCAGGATGCAGCGATTGAGCAACACGAATCCGTTGAGACTCGTTATGAATAATGCCACAAGAGTCGCCTCTCCTTCTCCCGCCCACCACCCTCCTCCTCCTCGCCGCCCCACACCGTCGCCGCTGCAGCAGCCTCACCAACAACAACCGCCGCCGCAGCAGCAGCAGCAGCAGCCGCAGCAGCAGCCTCGCTCCACCACACCCACCCCACAAGTAAAATAATCCAAACCCCCCAAATATAAAAATTCGATCTTTTTTATAAATACACACACACACATGCTTCTATTAGACGCTTCACTCAAATTTTCTTGAATTTTAATTGAATATATTTTGTGGGTTTTGTCTGTAATATGTAATATATATACCAGATATCAATTGTCACACTGAATTCAAGATCCTACACGAACAAAATCTCTCTATTCGTGTTCATCCTGCACATGGTCGGTGCCGTTGGGCTTGTCGGATTCTTGATTTTCAAAGGGGTGCAAGGCCTATTACAAGAAGGCAGTTCCCAAAGAAGAGAAAAGAGAATCTTGAAGTACTTCCTCCCCCAAGTCGAAGCCGCCTCGTTTCTCAGCATAACGCTCGCATTCATGTGGCAAAAGGCGGTCCGAGTGTGGCCCAAATTCATGGTCCATGTCATCATTTGGGGCTCCTTCACATTCACATTAGCCGCCGGGATTCTGCTAATCTGCTTTCAAATCCCCGCGACAGATGGCATCGGGGTCGTGTTCATCGCATTTTCAGTCGGGAACGGATTGTACGCGTGTTGGGTGACTCAAAGAACGAGTTTTTGCTCCAAGATCTTCATCAAATCTCTCGAGCCTGTCTCGAAGTTCCCCGATATAAACCAGCCCACTTATTGGATGCTCGGTGCGGGTTTCTTGTGGATGTCGTTTTGGATAATCGCTGTGATTGGCGCGTTGAATTTCTACGTGCCGCCTCTGGTTATAATGGCGTTGGTTTTGAGCCTAGCTTGGATAACCGAAGTGATGAGGAATGTGGCTAATCTGACCGTTAGTCGAGTGATTGCTCTTTATTACCTACGAGGAATGCAGTCGAGTACTCAGTTTTGCTTCCAACGGGCCATGTCCAACAATCTTGGAAGCGCTTGCCTCGGATCTTTATTCGTGCCCGCGATCGAAGCTTTGAGAATCGTTGCCCGCGGTTTGAATTTGATCGAGGGTGAAGACGAGTTCATGTTTTCTTGCGCGCATTGTTGTCTTAAAGTGATGGATTCGATCTTCACACGAGGCAATGGTTGGGCTTATGTTCAGGTAATAAGTAATCTTAGTTCTTGTAGTAATAATAATTATAAACATTACTCGATTGGGGTAATAAATCGGTAATTTTTTTTTAGATTGCGGCGTATGGAAAGGGTTTTGTGAAGGCTTCGCAAGATACGTGGGAGTTGTTTTCGAAGAGAGAAATGGTCGAGGTTGTTGATTCGGATATTACGAGTGCTATTTGCTTCCTCACCGGAATTTGCAGCGGCTCGATTTGTACTATTGTGGTGGCCGCTTGGACGGCCACAGTCCACCGTGGCTACATTGCTACACTCTCGGTTTTAGCCGCCTTCATCGGTTACCTAATGGTACGTGGTGCATCACTTTACTTATATCTGGCTTCGATTGAACAAATAAGTCATAATTAATTAAATAATTCTTAGGCCTCGTTTGTTTTCGAGATAAAATTAGCCAAGATAAGATTAATAATCTTATGAATTAAATATATTCAATTCAATAATGTATATTGGCCATGTGAACAAGTTGATTATATGTTTATTTATTGTGTGCACAATTAACATTATAATGTGTTTTTTAATTGTATTTTTGACAGACTAGAATTGCAATGGCATTGCCCCATGCCTGTGTGAGCTGTTACTACGTTTGCTATGCCGAGAATCCCGAAAACAGGCTATTCGACAGGACGATACCCGACCGACTCGATCTGATAAGATCGGGTCGGGATGTGGCCGTGCCGACTCCGAGGGTTCCTCGCCGGTTTCAAAGATAGCATTAGTTAATTAATTATTCGATTTAATTTAATTGATGTACATATCTAAATTATTGTTACATTGATTTTTGAGATACATTTTGTCACATGAATAAGGGGTTTTTAGCCTACTTAGATTGTCTAACCGATTGAGATTGTTGTGGAAGTTGCTTTTTGAGATTGGTGGGCACATTGAAGATTCTAATTAACAAGGCTACAAGGAGAAAGGTGAACTTTCTAGATGTATTTTTGTGGGATTAAAATCTTTGTTGGATATACTTTTTGGGATAATATGCGAATATTCTAGGTTGTCCCACAATTATTAATTTATGCGGTTTTTGTGTATAAGTCCCCAACCAAGCATCTTTATTATTATAGGTTTAGGGGCTATATTTCTGCCGTCAATAAGCCCATCCCTTCAATATTTATCATAAATAAATGAAACATTCATGTATATGCCAATATTACCCCCAACCCTTTATACCCAATTCTTAATTATAACCCCAATTTAATCAATTTTGTCCACAAAAATCCAATTTTGACCACAAAAATCCAATTTTGACTTTTATTTTCAAAAAAGAATTTTTGCCGCCGGATTCTGGCGTTCACTTTTCAATTTTTTTTTTCTTCCGAATTTTTTCCCCGGTTTCCGGCGTTCACTTTTTTTTTTCTTTTCTTCCGGATTTTTTCTCCGGTTTCCGGCGTTGATTTTTTTTAGTGTTTTTTTAAAGTTTTTTTTTTTTTTTTTTTTTTTTTTTACGTCCGCCGCTAAACGTTGACCGTAATTGTGTTGTCACTGACAGTAAATTAACGTAATTATACTGTCAATGACAGTTAATTAACGTAACTGTACTGCCGTTGACAATACATTTATGTAATTGTTCTGCCGTTGACAGTAAATTAACGTAATATTGTTATTTTTTTTTTGTTTTTTTTTGTTTGATTTGTTGACAAGTTAACGTAATTACATTATTGTCGTTGACAGTAAAATAACTGTAAACACAATGACTATGTTTGGTAAACTTTTCGAATTCTTTTCACACTTTTCCCAAAATGAAAATTATCTTTCTACAATATTTTCAAAAACTTTTCCCAAAAACAATTCAAATATTTCTCTCTCTAACAAACATGATTTGACCGCTACAGTGAAAATTGTCTTCACTAAAATACAAACTAAAATCACTTTACTTTTCAAATTTTTCTTCCAAAATACCTTTTCCCAACACATTTCAGACATGATTTGACTTGCTACTGTACAAATTGTCTCCTCTCAAAACACAAACAAACTTTATTTTATTTCCAAATTCTTCTCCCAAAACATCTTTCTCCAGAATAAAATGGAAATGTAAGCCCAAAAGCTTACCAAACATAGCCAATGATATTACTGTCAACAACATCAATAATATTTATTTTTTTGGGTTGTTTGTTTTGTTTGAGTTATTCGCGGATTAACGTAATAATATTACTGTCTATTATTGTAATATTACTGTAAACACAATAATATTACTGTGGTTGGCGGTAATATTACTGTTGTTCTAGTAATATTGCTGTCAACCACATCAATATTATTATTTTGTTTGGATTTTTTTGTTTGTTTGAGTTATTCACGGAGTAACGTAATAATATTACTGTCTATTATTGTAATATTACTGTGGTTGACGGTAATATTACTGTTGTCACAGTAATATTAATTCTTTTGACTTTTTTATTATGTTTGCATTTGTTGAACGGTCAACATAGTAATATTACTCTATTACACAATAATAATGAATTTTGTTGTGTTAATATTACTGTGCTAAAGATTAATATAACAATATTATTGTGTTAAATTGTAGTTTAGTTAATTTTACTGTATTTAACAGTAATATAGTTAATATTATTGTCAATCACAACAACATTGTTGTTTAAACGAAAAAAAATGTTACAGAAAAAAAAAAAATTGAAAAAATCAACGCCGGAAATCGGTGGAAAAATCCGGAAGAAAAAAAAAGTTTTTTGAAAAGTTAATGCCGGAGATCGGCGGCAATTTTTTTTTTTGAATTTTGTTTTTTGGGTCATAATTGAATAATTTGTAAAATTTGGGGTCACATTAAGTTAATGATAAAATTGAAACATATTAAAGTATGAGGGACTATTTTAGTCTTTTACAAAAATCAGGAGCATGTGTGGACTTATTGGTAAAATTTTTTTTATCTATTCCTCTTTATAAATAAGTACCCATTGATAGGCTTATTTGTAATGACCCCTTAATTTATTTTGGTGGTCATTATCTCAGTTTGGTCAACACATATTTAACTAATTAAATTTAATTTGAAGAATAAACTGAACTTCTGATTGTAATTTTTTACACTTAGTATCCATATTTTTTTGCTGGAGAAGTAAAAATTCTCACAGGAATATAATCTCTGCACACTGCAACAATTCCAACTAGATGTGCAAATTAGAATGAGAACGTTCTAGAACTTCCGGTTTTCGATCCGATTTTAACTTCCAGTTTTTTATTTATTTATTTTTTTTTTTTTTTTTTTTAATGAAATAGATATTAATAATATTCATATAAATATATTACATATTGTATAAGTGTGACTGAAAAATAGTTTTTATTTACCCCAATAAAGGAAGACAATTCAAAGTGTTATGTTTTTTAAAACTTCTGAAACTTCCAATTAAATTTTGAATAATTATTACTACTTCCAACTAATTTTTTGAAAAATCGATTCAGTTGAGATTTTTTTTGGAATTTCCAAAATTTTTTATTTTCTGAAATTCCAAAATTTTTGGAATTAGAACAAAATTTTGAATGTTGGAAATTTTGTAATTGCAATTGGGGATAATTAGCAAAAACCCTCTAATCTAGGAAAATGAGTTAAGGAAACACCCCCATCAAAAAATAATTAGAGAAAACCCCGCTAATATTCCACCCATATGATATTTTCATAATTCCAAAACTACCCTTAATTGTCTATTATACTCTTTCAAAATCCTAATCTTATTTTTATTTTTTCATCCGCCGTTTTCACTCTCCAACGTTTCTCTTCTTCTCTCTTTTCTCTTCTTCTTTGTTTTCTCTTCTTCTTTGTTTTTTTTTTTCCTCTGTTTTCTCCGGCAATCTTCTCCGCCACTGCCGCCGCCACCGCCGGGAGATGGAGAAAGAAAGAAGAGGAAGCACCCATCAAACATTATAAATGATTTTGATTGCGATTATGAATTCGAATGCCAGGATCGCTACATCGGAGGCGAATAGATATAAGATTGTCGATTTGTCACCGAAATCGGATTTTGATGGGTGGTGGTTCTACTTTGGTTGGTGGTGCGAGTTGCGATTTTATTTATTTATTTGTAATAAAAAACCGTCATAATGTCAAAGTGAGGTGGTGGCGTATCAAACCACCCCTCTTGAAATGAACCTTGTCCTCAAGGTTCTGCCCAATAATCGTCTCTCTTTTCTGTGTTTCCATCAATGCTTGACGCCATCAAATTGCTTTCCGATTGAATCCGAAAAACATTATAAAAAATCGAGCTCTTTTCCAAATATGAGTCCATCTGCCCGAACAAAATTTCTCAATCTCTTACCCGATAAATCAACCTCCTCAATTGTCTTTTCAAGTTTCGTCTTCCTTACATTCACCGTAACTTTTTCTTCGACCGTCTTTATAGAATCTGGCTCACTCACAATCACAAGCACTTCTTCGTTTCCTTTCTCCTGGAAGTCGTGACATCCTTCCACTATAATTTTTAATTCTTTGTCCTCCTCGCTACTTAACTTCTCGTGTTCGTTCCAAATTATCTCACTTAAGATGAGTGATTCTTCAATGTCCTCATTGGTTAATTTCTCGTCTTCATCCCAAATTACTTCAACTGAATCCGATAATTCTTCTTTCGGCGAACTCACAAAAAATTGGGGCTCTTCGAAAAAATCATCGTTGTCCTCTTCCTCTCCCTCCGACGATAGGCTCGGCAGCGGCGGTGGTGGTGATGGCCGTGGCGGTGACGGGCAGTGGTCCCTTCGACTTTTGTGATGGCGTTGACGTCGTCCTTGACTTTGTTCGAGCAAATTCTGAAAATTAATCCGTAATTTCTCTACGGATTTTTCCAATCGCTCCAACCGTCTTGTTTCTGACATCATGATTTTCACAAAGTTTTGATGTGATCTCAACTTTGCTCCAGCGTAGCTTTGATGTAATCGCTGCGTTGGTGTTAATCGCAACTTCGCTCTGATACCAATTGATACGATCTCTTGTGTATCATAAGATTTCTTTACGAAACGTAAGAAAACTCTTGTTTATTATTTCTCTTTATTATAAAACCCTAGAACAAAACGACTATTTAAAGATAATAAAACCCTAGAATCCTAATCTAACTAGAAAAGATAATTATCTATACTAATAAAATACTTAATATATATCCTAAATACTAAACTCACGGCCATATATATATCATAAATATACTAATCTAATTAATTAATAATAAAATACTAACTAATAATTAAACGATATATTAAATAATATATCGTATCAAACCACCCCTCTTGAAATGAACCTTGTCCTCAAGGTTCGAGTCAATTTGGTCCCTCTTCTTTGCGTTTCCATCTATGTTTGACTTCATCGACTTGCTTCCTGATTGACTCCGAAAAACACGATGAACGACCAAACTTTTTACCACATTGTTCATGTTGATCCAATGAAATAACAAATGCTACTTTAGCGAAAATATTCAATCTTTTTCCCCACAAATCAACCTTTTCAATTGCCTTTTCAAATTTCATCTCCTTCACAATCAATATCATGCTTTTATTTTTCGCGGTCGTCTTTACAGATCCGGGCTCATTCACGTCACCAAATCTTGTTCGTCTCCTTTCTTTTGAATATCGTGTGACTCTTCTAATATCCACTGTAGTTCTTCGTTCTCTTCCTTAGTTAATTCCTCACCTTCGTCCCAAATTATCTCAAGTGAATCCGATAATTCATCTTTCGGCGAACTCACAAGAAATGGAGGTTCTTCGAAAAAGTCATCGTCGTCCACTTCCTCTCCCTCCGGCGATAGGCTCGGCAGCGGCGGTGGTGGCGGCGGCGGCACTGGCGATGATGGGCGGCAGTTCCTTCGGCTTTGATGATGTTGATGTTAATCGCTGCCTTGCTAACGAAGCGTTGGTGTTATCGCAACTTCGCTCTGATTCCAATTGATACGATCTCTTGAGTATCATAAGATTTCTTTACTAAATATAAGAAAAATCTTCTTTATTATTTCTCTTCATTCATCCCAAATTACAGCA